AGATGTGTTCTCTGGAGTGACGAATCACGCTTCTGTGTCTGGTAATCCAATGGACAAGTCTGGATTTGGGTGTTGCTAGGAGAACGGTACTTGCCAGACTGCATTGTGCCAAGTGTAAAGTTTGTTAAAGGGGGGAGTATGGTGTGGGCTTGTTTTTCAGGGGTTGGGTTTGGTCCCTTAATTCCTGTGAAGATAACTCCTAAGGCGTCAGTACACCAAGAGAGTTTGGACAATTTTGATTCTCCCAACATTGTGGGAACAGTTTGGGGGTGGCCCCTTCCTGTTCCAACATGAATGCACATCATTGCACAATGCAAGGTACATAAAGACATGGATGAGTGAGTTTGGGGTGGAGGAACTTGACTGGCCTGCACCTCAACCTGATAGAACAACTTTGGGATTAATTACAGTGGAGACTGAGCCAGGCCTTCTCATCCGACATCAGTGCCTGACCTCAGAAATGCGCTTCTGGATGAAAGGTCAAACATTCCCATAGACACACTTTTAAACCTTGTGGACAGCCTTCTCAGAAGAGTTGAAGCTTTTATAGCTGCAAAGGGTGAGCTAACTCAACTTGAATAGTAGAAAATTAAACTTGGGTTACACTTCAACAAAATTCCAGTTAAAAGTAATGTTTATTGAAGTCTTCATATAAAACCATAAATCACAACTCCATTTGACACACAGAGGACAGTTAACGCGTTTCATACAGAGGTGTGCTTACTCATAACTGACATATACCGATCAAAGAACAGCTTAAATAGTTAAAATACAGCTGTCTACCATCAGTAATTTGAATACTCTCATTAATCAGCCTTAAGACACTGGGAAACCCCCCATGGATAAAAATCAGATTTACTTAACAAAAATCAAACACTCACCCACAAAGACATATATCCACAATCACAGTAAAAATCACCTAACAAGGTAAATTAATAAAGTTGTCAGTCAAACCCAAATGAAAGAGGGGGATAATATTTAAACCTAATAGATATAAGCCAATAAATGTTCTTAATACCCAACCCTTCTGAAAAATATCCAGAAAAGAACAGAAAAAAAAACAAAGGAGGCATGCACATATAGACATGTACAGAATGTTCAATGCTGCTGTGCAGAAGGGAAGAATCCTATAAACAAAAAAGTGAAAAAAACAAAAATTGTAAAGTAAATCTGATGATTATCCATGGGGGTTTCCCAATGTGTTAAGGTTGATTAATGAGAGTATTAAAAATACTGATGGTAGACAGCCATGTGTTAACTATTTAAGCTGTTCTCTGATCAGTATATGCCAGTTATGAGTAAGCACATATCTCTGTGTGAAACATTAATGTTAAAAGTCCTCTGTCCGGCGTATGGAGTTGTGATTTATGATTTTATATGAGTACTTCAGTAAACATTACTTTTAACTGGAATTCGGTTGGAGTGTGACCCAAGTTTCATTTTCTACTACTCAAGCTGTGGTCGCTGGTTGGGTCTGCACCTGCCAGATCCCAGAGGGGCGGATGCTTCACACCCCCTGGAGTGGTTCATGAGTATTCGTTGTCCAACTCAATACTGAACCGTATGGACTAAGACTGGGGATGCATTAAAGTTCATGTGCATGTAAAGGCAGGCATCGGAATACATTTGGCAATATAGTGCACATTGCAAGCGTATTTAACAAACTTCATTTTAGATCCTTACCTGCTTTGGTGGTGGTGATGGTACAAGTAATTTTAATAACCTACTAAAGAAGTAGAAATCCCATATGAGAGGACCTGCCTAATATAATTATATGATAGTACCAAATTAAAAAAGAGAAAAAGCGCCACTTACAAAAAAACACAAAAAATGGCAGCAGCAGCTATCCCACCCAAAATGAAAATTTTGGCAACAATAATTGCCTAATTTAAAAGGTATGCGCTAATAACAATTTTTATACAAAGGTGTATATCATCATCCAGAAAAAAGCGCTTTTTTTTTAGTGTTTTAAATAAATAATTATATTGTCCAAACATACATTAGTGTCCAAAAAAATATATATATTAGTGTCCAAAAAAATATATATATATCTTCAGGGACTTGAACCCAATTGTGAAAAATCCACCACCAAAGGAGATTAAATGAACTCACCAGAGCTAATGGCTGGTCAGATTATAAACCAGCAACAGCGCTTGTGCTCTGGGAGCAATGAACCCGATGTCCAAATAGATATGGTGTGATGTTTCAGACACTTCCGGATAATGATAATCACAGACAAACAACTTTGCAGCCCAAGCTCTTATGATGAACTTTTCCACTCTTTCTCATACCTCCATGAGAATATATAGTACACTCAGGGACAAAAAAGAGAACATAATGGTGCAATACGTTTTTTTCATTTATCTCTTTAATAAAAAAGGTATAAGGAAACTCACAAACAAGGTGTCTAACAGACACCAGCTTCAAAAAAGGTTGAGATACAATTACCGCTCTCACCGCGGATCTCTCCCATACAGCACAGAACAGCAAGGCCCTCTAACGTCCACATCAAGTAGGCCACGCCTACTTTATAATCTGACCAGCCATTAGCTCTGGTGAGTTCATTTAATCTTCTTTGGTGGTGGATTTTTCACAATTGGTTCAAGTCACTGAAGATATATATATATTGGACACTAATATATATATTTTTTTGGACACTAATGTATGTTTGGACAATATAATTATTTATTTAAAACACTAAAAAATATTTTTTGGGATGATGATATACACCTTTGTATAAGTTTGTTATTAGCGCATACCTTTTAATTATATGATAGTGCCATCATTGCAGTAAGAGAAAAACAGCCGAGAAGTAGCAGAGCTAGTGCTAGCATCATTGAGTATGCTTGGTGGAACAGTGGAACATTGACATTGGTTGCTGATTATAGACAGTGCAACAGCAAAATAGCATTTTTTAATTTACATATTATCTAGTATTCAGATAAATTTGAGCGCTGATGTTTTTTATATTTATTTTTATATTTATTATTGGATGTCACTTTTTGCAATAAGTGTAGCATTTTTAATTTTTAGTTAAGAAAAGCAATGTATCAGTGACATGAGCAGTGTACACGATGTTCATAGTACATCCATGGTTGCAAAGAAATGTCATTTGAATTTTCTGACATTTACAGAAAAACACAATTGGCTGAAGATTGAAACAGAAAGTATTTTGTATAATATTAAAATCCAAAATGACTTGTGTAGGGTTTGGGATGCCATTGTTATTCTCTGAAAGTGGGGGTTTTCTCCAAATTTGTATGCCAGATTAAGTAAAATTAATTGTTTCTGATATCTCTGAGTTCTAACAAATGAGATCTTACAGAAGCTGTTTCCATGGAATAAAAAAAGGTTGCTAAATCGTGTTCGCCTGTAATGCCATGTGCAGTAATTATACAGGTGTTAAAAAGTATTTGCATAACACTAATGCTGTTTATTGTAAATGGTTTTGAATTTCTCTGCTAAGCAATGTAGATAACATTAGAATGCCCTGTTTTATGATTTTGAACACTGTTTAAAAATAATATTTCATATTAGAATAAAGAAATAGCAAAAGCTATTGTTAATAACAATCATTAGCATTTATTCTTTGAAGATTATCCATGAACATCTCTAACCGAGTGACCATTATTTGTGCATTCAAAAATTAATATTGTTACTCTGTCTTACCTTAGTCTTTATAAAGTGCTTAATCTTTTGAAACCATGGTGTTTGATTTGTGCTGTCATATAGCAGGCAAGCTATTGTATATTCTTAATAGCAAGCATCCACAAGCTTAATTATTCTGTCATTTAATGAAGATTATACAGAGGAATTTTATATGCAAACTAATACAGATAATTTTGCATTTGTTTGATTATATGAGGTGCATGATCTCATGAATATTTATTTATTGTGGCATAGAGTTAAAACATGTATTGACATAATGACAGCTAGGCATCCTTTAATCAAGAGCTTGTAACAGAATACACATTAATTATTAGACTATGAAACCTGCACAGAGGCTGTAGTTTTATTTATTCCATTTTCTCTGTCAAATATAAGGAATGGAAAAAAACATCAACAAAAAAAATTCAGGTTTTATAGATACAGAAAAAAAAAACTTTCTAGATTAATATTTGTAGCTCTAAGCATTCAAAAAACATTTAAGGTGCTTAATATATGCTGTGTGCCGATGGTGATGACCAGAAATGTAAGGGTTCTTCTTGACATAATTGGAATATGCCCGTTAAATATTAGGTATTTTCTTGAAAAGAGTCTTCATTTTAATACATTAAAACTGACTTTGTTTTCCTAAAGCCACAAAATAGATGCACACAGTCAGATTCTAGCTGTCTATTTGAATATGACTGTTGGCTGTTAAATCTTGGTTATTAACTTCCTAAAAAATAACTGGAAGCATTCAGAAATCCTTCTTAATTGTTATTTAACAGAATTAAGAATCTGAACAATTAAGCAGGTTTTCACATATAGCCATGCAATACAGATGTTGGTATCTGTAAGGTAGCAAAGCCACCAGCGATAGTGCCCAACATCCAGCCTAAACGTTTCAGTACTTAGCTGTGACAACGAAATGACTAGCTCCCTCTTTTGACATCCATGTGCAAACTAAAATATTAGGCAAATACCTTTTACAATCTATACCTATTGGATCACAGAGAATAAAACAGCAGTTGATCAAACTCTACAGCGGTAAATAATCAGTTTTAGGAAGGCTGATCTCTGAATGACAGAAAAAAATGAGTTTGTGGTGTGCTGTAACTAACAGCCAGGGATTATAAACCCATAAATATGCAGTGTAAATGCGAATACTATGAACTAGGCTGTCCCTTTAAGACTGAGAAAGACCTACCAGAAACAGCCCTTGCCTCGGAAGCAACAGGGATTAGCCAGCTCATAACCCTTCACCTTTAAAGCACCTGTGTCAGCACACTACCAGCACTCATGATGTTGTAGCTACCATTTTGTGCTCCTGCTGGACCCAGCTGATATCTTCTATGCAGGGGCAGACTGACCATTTGGAAACTCGGGCACTGCCCGAGGGCCCAGGGTCAGTAGGGGGCCCCATGAGATGCCCCTGGTACCTTTTTCATAGGCTTTTTTGAGTTTGGGCAAGGACACAGGGGCCCCATGATCAACTATTGCCCGGGGGCCCCATGAGTTGTCAGTCCGCCCCTGCTTCTATGATCTGCTTGTGTGTGACCTGGCTTGTTCTGACCCTGCCATTCCTTGCTACTCACTCAGTACTGTTTGAACTCTGATCTACTTGTGTATGACCTGTCTTGTTCTGACCTTGCTCTTTGTCGTTGCTGATTCAGTACCATTGGAGCTCCAATCTACATGTGTGTGACCAGGCTTGTCTTAACTGCACTTTTGCCTGACCCTTCATTGTTACCAGTCTCACCACTACAACTCGACTGTCCTGAACAACACCTGCTACTCCAGTCTCTTGCTGTTCCACCTACATCTGCATTGGTGCACAACAAGTACCAGCCAGCCTTCTCTGTTTACATTCCTGCTTAAGGCATGTGCTCTTGTTACTGACTTTCTGCACCATCAGCACATCTGACTCCTGGCGAACGTACTTATCTGTAAGATGATTTGTGATTGGTTACTGACAGACTTGTCTAACATCCTTAACCATTTGCCTACTAGGCACTTTTACCCCCTTTGTGCCCAGGCCAACTTTCCGCTTTCAGTGCTGTCGCACTTTGAATGACAATTACGCAGTCACGCAACATCGCACTCATATGAAATTTTTTGCATTTTTTTCACACAAATAGAGTTTTCTTTTGGTGGTATTTAATCACCACTGGGTGTTTTTATTTTTTTCACTATAAACAAAAAAAGAAATAGTTTTTCTTTGTTTCTATTATACATTTTTGCAAACAGCTAACTTTTTTCCTTCACTGATCTGCGTTGATGAGGCTGCACTGATAGGCAGCACTGATGGGCACTGATGAGGTGGCACAAATAGGCAGCTCTGATAGGCTGCACTGATGAGGCTGCACTGGTGGGCATTGATGAGGAGGAACTGATGATGCTGCACTGATATGCAGCAATGATGGTCACTGATAGGTGGCAGTGATGGACGACACTGATGGGTGGCACTGACTGGTGGCACTGACTGATAGCACTGACTGACGGCACTGACTGATGGCACTGACTGGCAGCACTGCTGGGCACTGATGGGTGCAGCTCCTGGGCAGCACTGGTGGACAGCACTGGTGGGTGGCACTGCTGATCACTGATGGGTGGCACTGATGGGCACTGGTGGGAGGCACTGCTGGGTGACACTGCTGGGCACTGATCATCAGTGCCCTGATGATCAGTGCAGATGTCCTCTGTGTCATTTGCCAGTTATCAGCAGTACTTTCCTTACGCTGTGACAGTGTGAAGAAAATGCAGCCAATAACCAGCAACTGTATTTGTATTTGTCATTGGGCACAGCTGATCATGTGGTAAAAGGATGCTGTGGTTGGCCTTTTGCCTCATCATGTGATCAGCTGTGTCCCTGGGACACAGCAATCCTGAAGCGCGCTGGGTGCGAGCTACTGGGGGCACACAGGAGGGAGCATTCTGGGAGGGCGTCATGTGACGAACTGGACAGCCACACTGTAGCTGTCATTCAGTGATAGCTCAGTTGGCAAGTGGTTAAAATGGTGTTACTACAGTTGAAATTTTCATTGAAGATGGGCATTTTCACAAATGATTCTGTATTTGTACTTGCATGCAGTCTTATATGATATATAATGCACATTCCCCTTTGTGAAACAAACAATCCAGTTTTATAAAGAGCATCTGAACACTGGAAGCTGTTCCCAAAAAAAAGTAAAGGAGAGGGCAAGGGACTAGTCACCAGAATTGCCTGGGAGGCTCCCTGCAGCTAATCTTTTCCTTGTTACTGACTTACATAACTTGTTCTGCATTATATTTTACATTGAGTTTGGCATCTTGGTAGAGGTTGGGCTTTTCTTCTACATATCAGAGCGGTCTTCCCACTGACTAGTAACCTGATAGCTGGTGGAAGAATATTAAAAAAACAGCATCAGAGGTAAAGAAAGCACATCTGCAGAATAAATGAAACAGATGCAGCACTGCAGATTCCTCTCCACTAACAGCACAATAGTGACATCACCAAAGCTCACTCCAAATCTCATCTGAGAATAAAAGCCAGAGGCAACAGTGCATGTGATCTCAGACTGTTGATATACAGCTATGAGGCTTTAGCGCAGGAGGCACCAGGAAGAGCTCTCCTAAGACATAACTTGTAGGGTGTGGCTTGGTAGCACTCTGCGAGAGGGAGAGAGAGAGGTTTCCATATGCCATAGCTATCTGTAAATTGCTGATGTTAAAGTCATCTTGCCTATTAGTACTAGAATAGGTTCAGAGTGATACTGGAAATTTTATTCAGTTATTATGTGAGTGCATTTTTTTCTTTTCCTTTTGAGCACTGATCTATGATTTATCAACTGAGCTGAGAGAATTGCTGGATTTACCAAGTGAGAGTTCTGGGGAGGATTGCTTGAGCCCTAGGAGAGTCCACCTGAGTTTATGGAGTCTAATTTGATTAAATAAGACCATTCTAATGGGGGTCAATCTATAAGGTAAGCGTGTGCCCAAAAGGGGTTTGGTGGAGGTATCTGCTATTACATAATCTGATCTTACCAAATTGAACTGTCTATGTGGACTTGATCATTACTGTGGATTGTAGTTTTATTAATGGGCATTTATATGAAGGTGATGTTGGATTATAATTACACACATGTCTAGAGTTAGCACAATTCTGATTTATGTTAATTTGGTATTTTATGTTAAATTTTTTTTTGTATATGAATCAGTGCAGCATGTTTTTATACACATGTTTAGTGATTTTTCACTTTCATGCTTACAGCTTTAGTTTGATTCACTACTGATATGCAGAGTCATGTTTTTCACTTTTCAAACAAGGCAATAGGACTTCAAAGGCTTGCATACATAATATACTTGCAGCTATTTCCCGTTTTCTGCCATGCGCAATAACATCACTCAAGAGCTCTGACTAATGCATTTAGTCACCAATCATGTGACTTTCTTAGGGGTGCCATTCAAAAATGCTTAAAAAAAAAAAAAGATAAAGCTTGGTCATGCACAGAAGAATCCATATCTGAACATAATCCAGAAACAATGGCATCTTCTCTGGGTGAAAGTTAATTTATTTTCAAATAGTTTTTATTAAATTTTTATCATCTTAAAACAGGATAACATCGTATAGAAACATTCAAGTGAGAGGTTCACAAAAGCAAGTTTACAAGACATGAGATAAAAGAAGAGGTGATAGATCCCCACCATCCGGCTGGGGGCCTGTTAAGTGTAATCAAGTTTACATGAGAGGTATGCTCGTGACTCATGAACCATGTTGCAGAACGTAAAACATAAGGAACTAGGTAGGGGTTGAGAGAAGGGGTAGGAAGAGTGGGGGCGGGAGGGAGGAGGCTACATTTTGAGGCTTTGTATGTGATGGCGAACGTTGTTTGCAAGGATTGCGAAGTAGTTGGGAGAAGTAAAATCCTCTCCCAGTTAGTCAGAGATGACGTATCAGTTGTAAATTGCGCTTCAATTAGTAAGGTATAGAAGGTGGATATTCCCTTCTTTCGGATAAATAGTCTTATGGAAGAAATGGTGTGCAGTAGCAGGAAAGTCTATTTCGAGTGGCATGTTCGTTTTATGGAGCAAGTGGATTATGCGCATAAAAGTGAATTGCTCCTTATCAGGAAGATGGAATTTCCTCTGGAGGGTCTGAAAAGAATCTGGTTTTTGAGTAGTATAGAGATCTTGAATATGATGTATACCGCACGCTTTCCAAGAAGTTAAGTTTAAATGGGGGGAAAAGAAGTGCAGAGATGATATGGGGGTAGGGATTCGTAGATTGGCCTTATGTGAATGCGTGTATGTCAGGAAATCATGCCAAACCATCAGAGAGGCCTGAATACAGGGATGTGTATGTAGAGGTCTAGTCTGAGCTATATGGGGGGTAAAAAGTAGATCTATTAACATTCCCGGTGAGTACAAGGAGGATTCCATGATAGTCCAGGTTTTGTCTTCGGTGGGGTGCCACCAGTAGAAGAGCTGATCTAATAAGACAGCTTGGTAATAGGATTTTAAATGCGGGAGACCGGCTCCCCCTCTGGAGGGTGGGCGTATCAGGAGGTTTGTGGTACATCTAGGCCGTTTGGAATTCCATATGAATTTATTCAGAATTTTTTGAAGTGTGGAAAAGAAGGAGGAAGGTATAGAAATGGGCAGCGTGCGGAAGATATATAATATTTTAGGCAGTATGCACATTTTGATAGTCGCTATTTTGCCTAACATGGATAAGGTACCCGTACGTAGGCTTCCAAGCTCCTGTGGAATTATGTCAAGTAGCGGTTTAAAATTAGCTGCATAGAGTTGATTAGTATTGGCAGTCAGTTTAATCCCCAAGTAGGGAATATTGTGAGTTTCCCACTTGAAAGGGAAATGTTTTATAAGCCGGTTTTGAAGTGGAGTAGGAGTATATAAGTTTAAGATAGAAGACTTGGGTTCATTGAGTTTATAGTATGAGACATCTGTGTAGGTTTGTATGTGAGAGCGTATTGAAGTAAGTGACTTGTAAGGGTTTGTAATCATTAGAATAATGTCATCTGCAAAGAGGCTAATTTTGTGTTCGTGCTTAAGGAATTTAATTCCTGAGAAACTGGGGTCATTTCTGAGGTTAGATGCTAGTGGTTCAATGAGTAAAACGAAGATTATGGGGGAAAGAGGGCAGCCTTGTCTAGTTCCGTTGGAAATTTGGAACGGTTGTGAAAGTGTGCCATTGGTGAGAACTCTAGCAGAGGGTTTGGAGTATAGAGATAGAATTGCAGACAACATCATCAATCTGTAATTCCAAATTTTTGGAGAGTAAGTGTCATAAACTGCCAGTGAATGCGGTCGAATGCTTTCTCTGCATCCAGTGATAGGAGGAGTGAGGGTTGATTTTCTGATTCAAGGTGGTGTAGTAGTGATATAATTCATCGAGTCGCGTCGGGGGCCTGTCTACCTGGTACGAATCCTACTTGGTCAGGGTGGATTAGGATGGGAAGATGTGGAAGCAGTCGTAGAGCTAATATCTTGGCATATATTTTTAGGTCTGTGTTGAGCAGTGAAATTGGCCTATAGTTCTGAACTAATTGGTGATCTTTACCTGGTTTTGGGATAGTAGAAATTATTGATTTTAGCATATCAGAGGGAAATTCCCCTTTAGAAGCAACGTAGTTATAAAGATCCGAGAGGTGTGGTGTGAGGGAGGGTGCAAACATTTTGTAATATTCATTAGTGAAACCGTCATTACCTGGTGATTTGTTCAAGGGGAGTTTGTTTATGGTTTTCTCGATCTCTGTGGGTGAAAGTAACCAAGTAACCAATGTAGCCAGGAACGCTACTTCAAAAATGGGGGGAGTCAAACAGGTTTTTGACCACCGGAGGGGTCATACCTATAAAAAATTTTGCAAATGAAAGTCATTAGGTATAGGCCGATCGCCAGAAATAGGAGTGTTCAGAGAGAACCTCCAGGGAAAAACATAAGCGTGCGTAAACGCGTTTTTTGCCGCTGGGCCCTTCAAGTCCGTTCCATATTTTGAACGGAACCAGGGTTGTTCTTCTGTGAGTCTGCAGGCAAAATGCTCCAGACCTTAAGGAAGTCCAAGCCAGCCTCCAAATTTTTAATAGTATAAATCCTGCCTTGGTGTCGCACTAATAATTTTGTTGGGAATCCCCATTGATAGGCCATACCATGATTCCTGAGCGCTTTTGTGATTGATATCATCTTTTTCCTATTGGAAAGTGTGGCCTTGGACAAATCAGCATAGAGACGCAGATTCGCATGAGAGGGTGGGAGTGGAGGTGGATTTCTAGCCGCCATCATAATTCTCTCTTTAACGTGGTAGAAGTGTATGCGGATGAGCACATCTCTAGGGATGGATGCTGACAGGAATGAAGGCTTAGGAAGTCGATGTGCTCGATCGATCGTGGCCTCTACTTCAGAGAGCGTTGGGATTAAAAGCTTGAGGAGGTGTTGCAGATACGGCAGCAGTGCATCGGTAGACACTGTTTCTGGGACCCCTCTGAGTTTGATGTTGTTACGGCGCGATCGGTCCTCCATGTCAGCCAATTTTAAATTAATTTGTTCGATGTCCGATACGTGGTCTGTATGAGCATCAATCAAATCATTGTGTGCCTCTATGATGTCAGCTATATTGGTCTCAATATGGCGGATTCTGCGTTCCTGTCTTTGCACCAAAGTAGTAATTTGGGTTAATGGCGCAGATATATCATTATGTAAAGTTTGACGCAGTGATGTTAGCATGTTCTTCATGCAGATTTCGGTCAGTGGTTGGTCAGATGCTGGAAATGCGTCTATGTCAGGCAAGGAGGAATGTGGTGGCTGAGGTGGAACGTTTATGGCCTGGTAGGAGTCATCAGGGTCACTCTCTAGCCGTGGCCGTGATTTAGCTGGGCTGCAGGTCGTGGGTGACAGTGGGGGTGACAACTCACCAGGGTCCCCTGTGTACAGCTGGTGTTGCAGCCTGGGATCCACGCTCTGGGACCTGTAGTCCCCTCCTCCTGGCCGTTGCTGCCTCCCCGCATGTCTGTATGGCGCCCGCCATCTTGGTTTCCCGGCATAACAGCCGGGAAGAAGTTTGTTAACTTCCCTGGCTGCCCCAGGCTCTTTTTCCTGCGGGGCATGTCTAGTGGGCTGCGGGCACACTACGGGAGCTGCCGTGTGCTCTTAGTTTTCCCTGGGGTCTGAGTGAGCCACTTCAATGCTGGCGGGTGGACGGAGCGGGAACTATCGCGCGTCCATCCTCGAGCCGGCCGCGCATGCGCCGTGAAAGTTCATTTAAAGTGGTCTACTGCAAAGTGAAAAACTGTTCTGTGGTCAGACATATCAAATCTTCCGGACTAAAGAGGAGTGGGTTATTACATCTTTCTATCAGCACTCAGTTCAAAAGCCTACATCTCTGATGGTATGGGGGTGCATTAGTGCATACGGAATTGGCAGTTTGCACATCTGGAAAGGCACCATCAGTACTGAAAGCTATATTCGGGTTATAGAGCAGCATATACTCCCATCCAGATGACATATTTTTCAGGCAAGACAATGCTAAACTGCATACTGCATCTATGACAACAGCATGGCTTTACAGTAGAAAAGTCTAGGTGCTTTACTGGCCTGCGTGTAGTCCAGACCTTTCACTAATTGAAAATATTTGGTGCATCTTTAAATACAAAATACAAGAAAGAAAACCCTGGACTGTTGAGCAGTTAGAATCCTATATCAGGCAAGAATGGGACAGCATTCCTCCCCCAAAACTCCAGCAACTGGTCTCCTCAGTTCTCAGACATTTACTGAGTGTTGTTAGAAGAAGATAGGATGCTACACTGTGGTAGGCATGGCCCTGTTCCAAGTTTTTTGAGACATGGTGCTTTTAACAATTTCAAAGGTCCCTTATTTTTTTTCTTAAAATGGTACATTTTATCAGAACTCTGGTAAAAATTTTATTTTCCCATGCAGTGGGGCTGTGTCCTCACTCTATGGGTTAAGTGCTAATTTTGTCTAGGGGCTCAGAATAAAGCTATACTTACCCATTTCTCCAATTCTCTGGAAAACCGTGCTGCCCCATGTCCAGCAGTGTATTGTTCCTCCCGTCCTCACACACGGAGCTGGGCTATGGTGATGATGATGATGTTAGGAACAGCCCATTAACAAGACCGCTAGTATGCAGGGGGCGAAAGGCGGTGGGGACCTCTCTTGCACTCGGAGGATCAGTGGATTAGGTAATTATATCTTTACTTTCTGAGCTCCTAGACAAATACGAGCATTTAACCTATGCAGAGCGAGCACAGCCCCAATGCATGGGAAATTTTTTTAAAAATGCCTGGATTTCTTCTTTATGCATTTGATATGTTTTCTATTTTCTAATAGTGAATAAAATAAGACACAACTGGTGATGGCCATTGTGGTGGAGGAAAGTGGTTCAAACATTTGATGTGTGTTTACATAAGATACAGTGGAAAAGCAACACTTAGAAAAAAAACACAAGAATACTTTTGTTGGATATGGGATGTTTATAGAAATAATACACTATATTGCCAAAAGTATTGGGACCCCTGCCTTTACGCACACATGAACTTTAATGGCATCCCAGTCTTAGTCCGTAGTGTTCAATATTGAGTTGGCCCACCCTTTGCAGCTATAACAGCTTCAACTCTTTTGGGAAGGTGATGCATGGCTTGGATGCAGCTGCTCGGCCATGGAAACCCATTCCATGAAGCTTTTTATGCACTGTTGTTGTGCTAATGTGAAGGCCACACAAAGTTTGGAGGTCTTTAGCCATTGAGTCTGCAGACAGTTGGCGACTTCTGTGCACTGTGTGCTTCAGCATGCTCTAACCCCGCTGTCATTTTACATAGCCTACCATTTCATAGCTGAGTTGCTGTTGTTCCCAGTTACTTCCACTTTGTTGACCATGGAATATTTAGTAGCAAGGAAATTTCATGGATGGACTTATTGCACAGGTGGCAACCTATCACAGTACCACGCTTGAATTCACTGAGCTCCTGAGAGAAACCCATTCTTTCACAAATGTTTGTAGAAGCAGTCTGCATGCCTAGGTGCTTGTTTTTATACACCTGTGGCCATGGAGGTGATTGGAACACCTGAATCCAATTATTTGGAGGGGTGTCCCAATACTTTCGGCAATATAGGGTATAATAGAAATACATAAGAAAATACATTGTCACATTGCATGTTGGTTTACATTTGTTCATTGATGTTTGTTTTTATAATTGATGTTTCATATTTAAGTTTTTTTTTAATGGAGTATCACTACACTGTTTTTGCTTGACTTATGCACATACTGTATGCATGAAAGGGACACAAGGTGTGAGCAGCAACTCAAGACAGTAATGTAAACGCTATTTAGGGTAGCAGTGCAAGGGTATAGTTTGATCTAAGTGAAGAACACACTACTGTTATGGGAGGTAAGATTAATAAAAAAAAGTATTTCTATTGATGAAAATATTTCAAACAGTGAACAGTAATAGTCTGAACACCCCCCTGTTCGGTTCACGGTAGAACATTCGAACCAAAAGAAAGTTCTACCACAAACATCGAACATAATGCAAGTCTATGGGACTCAAACTTGTAAAATAAATTGTGCCCATTTTGAAAGCTTATATGCAAGTTGTTGGCCATAAAAGGTTTATGGGGACTCAGGTAATGCCCTGAGGGACATGAATCAGTGAAAAAAAAACATTTCAAAAAGTACTGTTTTTAAAGGGGCAGACATTTTTCATTGCTTAACCACTTGCTGACCATAGATAGTTGAATGACGGCTTCAATGCGGCCGGCCAGTTCTGGGAGGGCGTCCTCCCAGAATGGGCACCCAGCGATCTCTCCATGATCGCTGTGTCCTACAGACAAAGCTGATTACATGATGTGGTAAAAGGCCAATCACAGCGGCCTTTTACCACGTGATCAGCCATGTCCAATGACACAGCAGATCACCGGTAAATGCAGTTGCCACAGCGTGAGGAAAGTACTGCTGATAACCGGCAATTGTCAGATTGGCACTGATCATCAGGGCACTGATCATCAGTGCTCTGATGATCAGTGCCCAGCAGTGCCACCCATCAGTGCCGCCCATCTGTGCCCAGCAGTGCCCACCAGTGCCACCCACCCCTGCACAGCAGTACCACCCATCTGTGCCACCCAGCAGTGCTGGTCAGCAGTGCCACCCATCAGAGCCCAGCAGTGCCATCAGTCAGTGCCGTCAGTCAGTGCCACCCATCAGTGCCACCTATCAGTGCCCATCAGTACCACCTATCAGTGCCCATCATTGTTGCATATTAGTGCCAGCTCATCAGTGCTGCCTATATGTGCTGCCTATCAGTGCTGCCTGTCAGTGCCCATCAGTGCCGCCTATCAGTGCCCATCATTGTTGCATATCAGTGCCAGCTCATCAGTGCCGCCTATCAGTGCCACTTCATCAGTGCCACCTATTTGTGCTCATCAGTGCTGCCTATAAGTGCAGCCTCATCAACGCACATCAGTGAAGGAGAAAAATTACCTATTTGCAAAATTTTATAATAGAAACACATAATTGTTTTTTCAAAATTTTTGCTCTTTTTTTTGTTTATAGCACAAAAAATAAAACACCCAGCAGCGAGTACATACCACCAAAAGAAAGTTCTATTTGTGTGAAAAAAATTATAAAAATTTCATATGGTTGCAGTGTTGCATGACCGTGCAATTTTCGACAGTGCTGAAAGCTGAAAATTGGCCTGGGCAGGAAGGGGGGTATAAGCGACTGGTAGGCAAGTGGCTAAAGTAAAAAAAAAAAAAAAAAAAAAAAAGAAAAATTCCTTTAAATATCATGCCTGGGAGGGTCCCCTTAAACTACCTACAAAGTTGCACATCTGTACAATGTATAGAACCTTCTGCAGTAGGACTGACATTTTAAATAAATGAATTTTTTATATAAAAAAAGAAAGCATGGGGTCCCCCCTAATTTATGCCAGGCCCTGTGGGTCTGGTAGAGCTTAGGGGGGGACCACCTTATTCCCCCTTTTGGGTCTGGTAGGAAGGTTAGGAAAGACTCCACAGTATTTTTTTTTTAAAGTGCATGGGGTTCCCCCTAAAAGCCATACCAGACCCTTTAGGCCTGATATGACTTTTAAGGGGAACCCCACCTCCCACAATTGGGAGAAAAAGAGTGCGTGGGGTTCCCCCTAAAAGTCCTACCAGCAGTCCTACAGCAGTTTGCACAGCACTTTACAGCATGAGGGCAGACAGTACAGTTTCAATACAATTCAATACAGGAGGAATCAGAGGGCCCTGTTCAAAGCTTACAATCTAAGAGGGAGGGTCAAGAGATACCAGAGATACAAAAGGCAACAACTGTGGGGGATGAGCTGATAGAGAAAACAAAAGTATAGTTGTTATGTGGGGGCAGGATAGGCCTCTCTGAAGAGAAGGGATTTCAGGGATTGTCTAAAAGTGGATAGAGCCACAGTTGGGGTGGGGAGTTCCTTACGCTCAGAAGATGTCCTGGAGGTGACCTTGGCAGGAGGTGATAAGGGAGCTAGAGAAAAGGTGGTCTTGGAAGAAATGGAGAGAACGATTTGGTTGGTATTTTGAGACTGGTAATGTAGCTGGAAGTTGAGTTGTCTGATATGTCTGTTAGTATATTAGTGATTTGTGTGAAGACTGATGGAGTAAGTGAGGGGCAGAGAGATAGAATCGGGCTTCATCAACATAGAAATGGTATTGGAAACCATGGGAGGCTATCAAATGACTCCTCAGGGAGGAGGTGTAGATTGAGAATAGGAAAGGTCCAAGGACAGAGCCTTGGGGAACCCCAAAGGAGAAAGGAAGAGGAAAAAAGGAAGTAAAATTGTAAGTGACACTGGTGCGTGGGATACGTAGGATGAGAACTAAAAAGAAAATAGTCACAGAGACCAAAGGAGTGGAGTTTGAAAGGAGGTGAGGGTGTTCCACTGTGTCAAAGGCAGAAGAGAGGTCCAGGAGTAAGAGTACAGATTAGTACCCATCTGTTTTAGCCATTAGTAGGTCATTTGTGAACGTTGGAGAGCAGTTTCTGTGGAGTGTTAAGGGCCTAATCCAGACTGAGGGGGATTAGGAAGATTATTTTAAATGAGATGATTGCTCAGTTAGTTATAGATCAGACATTCAAGGAGTTTGGAGGAAAAGAGGAGCAAATAGATGTAGTGTAGGTTGCTAAGATTGGTGGGGTCCAATTAAGATGTTTAACTATGTGGGTGACTAGTGCATGTTTTGGAGAGTTGGGGAAGATGCCAGAAGACGGGGAGATTTAGGATGCGAGTTAGAGAGTGTAGACTAGATGGTGACTGTAGCATTTGCAAAGGAACCTGGTCCAGTTGGCAGGTAGTTAGGTGGGCATTAGAAAAAATTTAGCAACCTCGTCTATAGTAGCAGGGTTGAATGAGGGAAGTAGAGAAGAGAAGGGTTAAGGTAGCAAAGATTTCTACAGGCAACTGTTAGATGGTTGGAAGGAGACAAGAAAATTGGCCACTTGTAAGTTAATTTCATCTTTTTTTCAAATTTGATTTTTGTTTCAATTATCATACAATGGCATATACTCAAAGAGAATTATCCACAGTGAGTTTCAGATTCCACCTTTGCCAGCTTATCATAAAGGAACAAGAAAGGACAGAAAAGTGAGAGCTACAAAAGAAAAGACTGATTGTTAACTTTTTTAGGTCACAGGAAAGAAGGATATTTTTCTTGTTTGTCTTGTATCCACCGCAACAACATGAGCAAGGGAAATACATTTACTCATCCACTCAGCGGACAAGATATAAGATAAAAGGTTTCTTTACATGTTTAAGCAGTTATGTAACTTATATGATTAAATGCCCTTGTGAACTGTGTTACACAGAAGAGACAGCACAGAGGATTAAAGAGCATATTGGTAGACATAAATATTCTATCTGAAATAATCAGAGAAAGCTGCCTATTGCAAGACATTGTATTGGTAATACACCTAGTATAATACAGCTAAGATGTGTGGTAATTGACCATGTTCCTAAATGGATCAGAGGGAAAATCATGAGTGAAAGCTCGAAGAAGGAGAATGAATTTATCATTTAGATAAGAAAGATGCAATCCACATAATACATAGAATAAGTGCCTAGCGCCTCCGGATAAAGGTAATTTTGCAAGAAAAGTCAATAGACACTCATAGGATCTCATGCAGGAGATAAATTGAAATGCTGAGTCTTTAATGTGATCTGACTCTTTGACATGTGATCTAATGTTTTAAACGTGTTGTCAAGTGTCACTTCCACTGTAGGATCTCACAGCATGTGTAAGTAAACTTCAAATGTGTTTCCTTAGTTATCATCTAACGCTCATGATATAATCATATTTTCTATTCCAGGTTCTTTTCATATTCACTTATCATATTACCTTTGACTTTTTTTGTAACAGAGTAGAAGAAAAGTATATATGATTGATGTTAAATGTGGATGAATGCCACTATGAGTCATTTTGGGCCTTGTCTTACACCTGAAATGACACAAAACCAAGTCACTTGGAAAAGCCTATGTTTTCTTTCCTCTTCGAAAAATAGCAGAATCATATCCCTTCAGCAGTTCAAATAAATTATTTGTATTTTTTTCAATTGTAGATTTAATTAATATCTAGCCATAATTACCGTGCAATCATATATACTTGGGGTTATTTACTAAAACTAGAGAGTGCAAAATATGGTGCAGCTCTGCATATAAACCAATCAGCTTCCAGTTTTTTGTCAAGGCTTAATTGAACAAGCTGAAGTTAGAAGCTAATTGGCTACCATGCACAGCTGTACCAGATTTTGTACTCTCCAGTTTTAGTAAATCAACCCCACTGTATTGTTTAGTGTTAAGACAAAGAACAGACAGTAAGCTTTTTTAGTTTTTCTACTGACAATTTTTCTGCTCTTTGTTACACTGCTGAAATCTACTTCATGTTATTACATATCTCTTTATTACACTAAAATACTGCATGCTCTTCCAGTATATGGAACTAGATTCCCAGGAAGCTAGCCTGAAAAGCTTTCTGGGTGAATTTGTTAGAGGATTACAGTATTTAAGGCTACATTTAGGGAAATGGCCTATTTGAAGTCCTTTGGGTCCAACTGTGCCAGTGCCACCAACCTAAAGAATATTTCAGCTGCAGGTTGGTAACATTGCAGTGGGTTATGGACATGTGATGTATGTTAGAAAAAAATATTAATATCATTGATTATATTTTTAATAATAAGATAACCTACAGACTAGTGTTTACATAACCAGTACCATAATATCCACTAGTACATAAGGACGTTTAAAGTTTATGCACATATTGTGGCCTCAGCTTTTATTTGTTTTACTATATTGTCCCATATCTACCAGTTAAATTCATTTTACGTTGCAGAAAGAACTCTCATTCATAGATGACAGTTAACTAATGAGCAAGATGCAGCAAGAAAATATAACCACCAAATAAAGTCCAAGTCTTTGTAGTCCAAAAACAAAAAACAATGTAATCTTATTAGCTGTTATAGGTAAATTAACTGTTTTAAGTCACTGCAATTTGAACCCCTCTTCAAAAAAATTATGTTTTTGAATTGGTTTTATATTAGTTTATTTTTAAAAGTAGGGAAATAAGGAATCAATATGATACCACAGTACCTACACAACTGTTTTTAAGTGAATATTGCAAAAGCCTGCTTTAATCTATGCTTCACTTTTTGTGATAGCTAAGACAGAAATTAATTTAGGCTAGATTGAAAACTTACAGGACAAAAGATCCTGAACCAAAAGAAAAAAAAAAATAAAGACTACCAGTGGGAAGGAGTTAAATTGGTAGCATCTGTAAAACTGTGTAAGAGTGATATTTCTTGATCGGTTTATTCTCAGTTCCCCTAACAGCACAAACTATCTGATTTGCAATTGGTTGTCACATATAAAAATGACATTTACATGGGTTATGTGGATGAGATTCTGTTTCATCTTCATGAAAATAAGCATCTTCACTGCAGGATGTGTAATTTGAATGAGTGTACCATTTACATGGCAAGTTGATGTCTAGCTATTTGTCTTTAGAAAATGCTGGAGTAGAAATATTTTCTTCTGTTTGTGTTCATCCTACAGTGATGGCTCTTAGTTAGAGTGAAACAATGGTGGCTGAAAGGGCCAGATTTCAGCTGTATGCCCTCCTACTCTATTATTAATGTGACTTGTCTAAGAATTTGCATCTTCTAAGCCACACAGTCTTGTTTCCACAAATATACGTTTGCTTAAATGAAAATATATATTTAGAATTATGCCACATTTATTTAAATAGGTTTCGTTCTATAGCTTTCTGGAAAACCTGTGTCCAGAGGATTTATAGAAAGATGCACTTAAAGTGCAACTAAACCCTCCTATCTTTTACAGCCATGGAAG